ATTTTGGAGAGATGTTGAAAACAGAATGGGAGATATCAAGTCCCATCTTATGAAATGTTCTAAGGATAGCGAGACGATTGAATTGGTCAAGAAATATTTAGCTAAAAAAAAACATATAGAACGAAAAGGTTCAGTTAAATACCTGTTTGCATTCGATGAAGCTCGTACACTGATTAGTAAGAATGATGGAATTAAGAGCGTTAGAAAAAACTCACTGTTCTACTACATTCGACGTGCTTTAATTCTTTTACCCAAAGAAGCAGGAATTTTTGCAATCTTTACAGACACACATTCAAATATTTCGAATTTTTCACCTGTTTCTTACCTCGATCCATCTAAAAGAGTTGCTGAAGAAGGATTTATATTATTTGAGCCGTTTTATTTGTTAGACACTGTGGACATGAATGTTAATTTTAAAAAAGTAATGACATTAAAGGAATCTGCAGATCCACAACATTTTTTTCAATACGGAAGACCTTTGTGGGGTGCGCTATTAATGCCTTCTAGTGATACTAAAGGAATGGAATCAGAACATATTATCGAATTGGCCATGGACAAACTTATTGGCGGAAAATTTTTCAGTGTTTGGAAAAAAGATTTGAAAGATTCCCAAAAGAAAATTGATATTTTGGAGACTTTGGCTATTCTTGGGCCCCGTTTATGTATCGAAATAGCGCCACAATCTGGATATGCGCCTGATCTAATAGCAAATAATATGCGTCTTTGTATTAATATCTTAGAAGATCGTAAATACATTGTTACATCAATGCCTACCGAACCTGTGCTGGCAGAGGCTAGCGCTCGAATAATGAATGATCCACATGTCAGCCTCACAGAACTTATTAATCAGCTCTCCGAAGCCTTAAAAAAAGGCGTAGTAGAGGCCGGTTATCGTGGAGAGCTTACAGCTAGGTTATTACTTCTCAATGCCTGGGATTGTTGTATCAAAAAAAAGAACGAGAAAGAGAAGAACTCTGATGACACAAATATTAGCAAAAATTATTTTCGATTCGTGACTCTTGAAGAATTCTTAAAATCATTACTTGCGGACAATGTTTATGAGAAAATAAAGAATCGCCTTGAAGAGACAGTAAAGTTTACAGGAAGAAAATTCAGCGAAGCTTATATTAAGTTCACACACTTTATCAATATTACATATACTCCGGATAGAAAAGATCTCGGGGATGCTTTAATTCGCGGTGTTGCATTTTCATGTAAACGAAATCAACAGGGTGCAGATATTATCATACCTACATATATGGGCACTCTCGATGAAACGGTTGACGAAGATCGTATTTCATACATACTAATACAAGTTAAAAATCACTCTACTAACAATAAAGGCCATGGATATTTAAAGTCTGCAACTACTATGCTATCGCCGGCTTATATAGGTATTGAGGATCTATCGCATATGCCATTTTTGTCATTGTATTTG